CCTGCTACGCAAGAGCGCGTGGGTTCGACCCCGACCCTGACGCCTGCTGTATATTTGGAATTTGCATCTTCTCCCTGTGGTCACGTGGATCTTTTTTCGTGTCCTCCCGTTGTTCCCTCCACATGTAGAAACATGCGTTTATATATATTTTGTATTATTTGCCTGCTATACATTTCCACATAAGCCACTTTGTTGAGCTATTATGTATGGCCAGGTCGCTTCTGATAGAGAAGCTAATAGCTCAGTTGTGGGCTTTACCTGGTAAAATGAAACCATTATAGTTTGTTTTTTCTGGGGTATGCTTATATTTCCTATAATTTACACTCCCCTCGTTTTTTTAAAATATTTTTTGTTGTTGTAACTTTCTGACCTGCCCCAACTGGACATTTGTGAAAACGAGCAACCATAGCTCATCGGATTTATTCAGGATAAATACATATTCTGATTCTGATGTATAACGGGTGTGATATCAAAAGTGTGATCCAGCAGTGGATTGACCATGGCCGATGATGACGATGATGAGTGTTGGTAAGGAGGTCTATTTCAGTGACTTTCGAATTATTAACGTGGCAGCATCTTCCAGCGCTGTTCCGCAACAAGGTGACGGCATGGCCATCCAGAGAGTTCCGAATGAGATTGTTTGCATCAAGTTACATTACATTGATCCTGGTATGAATAAACTATAAACTATTTTTTTTTATTTTACCAGGTAAAGGCACACTGAGCTGTGTACTAGCCCTTTTTTCAGAAGCGACCTGGCCCCAAATGATAGCTCAAAGATGCGTCTTGTCGCGGGGAGATTAATAGCAGCCTCCTGCTCGGTCTTCCAGCCGATGCGTTCATTCCACTACAACAGATCCAAAATGCGTCCGCACGTTTCATTTATAACCCACCACCTGCGGCTCTCTTATAGGAATGCACTGGCTCCCCATCTACTACCGGTGTATGTTCAAGCTCCTCACGCGAGTATTTACATCTCTTCATGGCCTTGCCCCACAGTACATCGCTTCCCTTGCCTCGTTTTATGTCCCCTCCCGCCCGCTCTCCGTTCTCAATCTCTCCTCCTACTCCTAACCGTCCCCCCGCCTCTCCTTGTGCACAATCCCGTTTCTGCTCCTTTTCCCTACTTGCCCCCTTGCACTGGAAGAAACTTCTTCCCCTCTACACGAAGCAAGTAGCACCCTCCCTGTTGAGGTTGGGCTCTTCCCTCAAGACCCACACGTCTTCTCCCTGGGCCATCCTTCCCTCCATCCCGAGGTGCCCCCGTAATTCCTGTACCCACTCACCTCCCTCCCCATACCCTATCCCTATTCACCATATCACCCTCAGCTACCCCAATGAACCACTTCACAACCATAGTAAAGCGCGTTGGATAAAAACGCCATGTAAATATACGATACTTTAAACGCATGTTTCTAAATACAATCGGTATTGCGTGAGTCTCATCAAAATGTTAAAACTCAACAAATTTGTCGACAACACTGTGTTGTCGACAAATGCAATAAATAATAGGTGACGTTTCAGGCAATGCACCTTAATCAGAGCACATACATAGAGAGGCCAGAGCCATAGCAGCCTTATGATAATTTGTGGCATGGCCCTTTTTCATCAAGAAGGACCACGGCCCGAAACGTCTCCTATTATGTTTTTACCTTTTAAGGTCACACAGTGTAATTGACGAATGTGTTGAGGTTTTTTTGGGTGTTAGTTCGCACTCCGGTGATGTCACACATCCATGCGCTTCAATGTACCGTGAGTGCAATGTCATCAACGCAGCGCTACAGAGGCGTGCTTGACCGTGACTTTAAAGTCGTTTTTCTTCTTCTCAAAGATGAAACTTCACACTTGTCAGGGAGCCCAGGACACAGCGCCTTGGCGGGAGTCTACACGATGCGACCTGCGTGTTGTTTGTTTTTGGTTTATTTCACTGAACGTTAATCGTGCTTCTTCTGCACCGCTGCCAGTGGAGCAGCGGCGGCATCAGCGGATGACGGCGCGTTGAACGTAAAGTGTCAGGCAGTCGCGACGGAGCCCTGGGGCGTTTTCTCGAGCGAGGAATGCGAGCGTCAGCGCCGTCCATGCCGTGGTGCGCGAGGCCTGTACCGCGGGCACTTTCCCGTGAGCGAGAGCGCCTTTGCCCGTCCTCTCTGCTGTTGGCAGTTCGTGGTGGGGGGAAGGGGTGGAGGGGTGAACGCAGAACGGACAAAATGATTTCCAGACCTCTGAGAGCGCGCATGCAGCCAGAAAAATGCATCCCCACTGTGTGTGTTGTGTATATGTTTTAACAGCCAAATTTTGGCTTAAATATATCCCAGGCTTTGCATAAAGCACCTCAGTGTTGATTACACGGTTAAGCCAAACGTCAGAGGGTGCGTGCAAACATACTTTTGTCCTGTGCTCGTTACTCGAGTGATATTTCTCATGCTATTCAAATGGATTTCCGCAAGAATTTCGGTCTTTTCCAGTAAACTCTGTTATTATTATTATTCCAATTTGCCGCAATGTATTTTTTTTCCAAATACAAATTGAATTAAAATGCATGTAGGGATATTGTTCGCGCTCGTAACATTACTCCGGCTTGCGGCGTTACTGTGCGTGACTCTCGAGCAGAAAGGTTACAAGTTCAAACCCTGTTTGGGGGGTTTGTGACTCGGCACATTTCCCCTCTGCGATCAACCGAATGAGTGTCACTTTGATTTTACTCGACGGGAAACAGCCCTCGCCATGCGAGTGTGGAATTTCCCGCCCCCCCCCCCCCAAAAAAAAAATGGCTCGGAGCCACGGAGGTGATCACTGGTGCACTCTTGTTGGAATGAGTCAAAGTTAAGTCAAAGACACTCCGGCTTAAAGTTTGGCTTAACCGTAGCTTCTGGAACATGGCAAAGGAGCAGCGCTGCAATTTCTTGCTCATGGCACTACCGGCGGAAAGGCCTCCACCGGAGGAAGCCCCCTCTGAAGAGTTATTTGGCCTTCTCTTCCACGTCTGGGAAGAGGTTGGAGCACGTTACACACTTTGCCCACCACGCACTGCCTGCCCATCACCTCGCTTTGCTGCACCCGTTAGTACCACGCCGCAGAGAAAAATAGCAACGGCGTCAATACGAGTAATAATAATAATAATACTATGGATACGTGCGCGTGTGCGCGTGTGTGTGTGTTACCCGTTGGCCAGCAGTCTGCTAAGGCTTTACTGGGGGATCTTTGTGTTGCCCGTTAAGGGAGCGATGGAAAAAAAACAACGATGTTATTGGTGTACCCGTTTATACTGCTGGGTGGGTGGACAGAGATGCGGGGAAATCTCAGACAGTTGCCCATTGTTTGAACTTCTGTGCCGGGAGATCAAACCGGTGGACATGCGGATTGCAAGTCCAGTGTGCAGACAATTGTACCAAGGCAGCACTCCCTCAGCTTATCAACTATAAAACTAAAACACTTTTTATTTTACAAGGTAAAGCCCACTGAGCTATACAGCTCTTTTTCAGAAGCAACCTCGCCACAAATGACAGGTCAACGAAGTGGCTTATCACGTGGACATTTATCGTAGCCAAATGCTCTAAATGCACGTTTAGTCTAAATGTGGAGGGAACAAAAACTATAGGACCTGGAGAAAAATCCATGCGATCATGGGCAGAAATACACGAAAACTCCAAATATAAAGGCGTCAGGGTCGGATTCAAACCCACGGCCTCCTGCACACCAGGCGAGGGAGTTAACATCTCTCCACGAGTGAACAAACAACTCAATGTTCAGGTGGCACTCATCGCCTCTAGTGGCCCTGGGCCAGTGGTCAAAATTCCTAATGGCCGGTCTCTCCATGGGATGTCCACTATTGACATTCCACAAAGCAGTGCTCACTCTATTAATCCCTGAAGGATGATTGGCTGTGGTTCCCCAACCGTGATTTGAACTTGCAACCTGCTGATTGGCAATTATTCACTCCAATCGTAGTTTCACGTGGGCAAAATTAAATATGCAAAGCGTAATGTACGGCAACTCACGCGCATTATGCTGAGTGTGTAAATAAAGTCTATTCTAGTGTGTGGCCAGATGGCATCGTGGATGGCTTGCTCCAATTGCAGTCCTTAACGTTGCAAGTTTAACTTCCCATTAGAAGTCTACACAGCCCATCATCTCATCAGGGTCTGAAAAATAGATACCACATAATGAGAATCCAACCGTGGTCATGCAATATTTTCTGATTTCCGTTTTATGTTTAGGAGTTGCATTTTTTTTGTCCACCCACATTTATTTATTTGAGCGTTTGTTGTTTTATTTTCTTCGATTGTTCACAGTTTTACACGCATGTTTTGACGAAACAATGTTTTTGGTGATGCTACTGCTGCTGCGTTGTCATTGACACACAAGGAAGAGAGAAAAAAAAACTCACTTTGGTCAATACCACTGTGGACTTAAACGGAATTTGTTTTTGTTTTTATAAATAATAATAGGCAAGGCCCTTTCATTGCCAAAAACGATTATGTTTTTTTTATTTTATATCAGTGTTATTGTTGACGAATGTGTTGAGTATTTTTGGCAAGATCGTTGCTTTGTTTATTTGTTCAACGCGTTTGTTTGCTTGTGTATTTGATCAGTTGTTTTGCTTCTCCATCGTGTGATTGTTTCATCAGTCGTTTGCATTGTTTCACTCGTATTTCTATGATTGAATGTTTCTTTAAGTTATTGTTTGTTTCTGCATTGTTTAACACTGCTGCTTCATTGTTCGCTCAATTGATTGATTGGTCATTGGTTCACTTTTACAATGTAATATTTGCTCACACTTTCCTTTTTTCCGATGGTTTGTTCAGCTCCTCCGTTCGGCCATTCGCTCGGTCCACCGTTCGGCCACGCCAATCGCCCTTTTGACGTCTCACCGATCCGCTCGATTGTCTATCCGACCGTTGGATGGTTCGCCACCCCCCCCCCCCCCCACACCCCGTCCCCATTCACCGATCGCCCCGTCGTCTCTCCCAAACCCTCCATCCGACCCCCTCCCTCCGCAGCTGCAGAACGCGTCCTGGGTGGGCGGCAGCAGCGCCGGCGGCTCGCCGGTCTCCAGCTGCATGATGTCCCCGCACGACGCCCTCCCGCCGTCCTGCATGTCGCGCCACGCGCACGCCCACGCCCACGCCTTCGTGGGCATGCCCTCGCCGGGACCGTGCCTCTCCCCGCCGGGAATCGGCAGCCTCTTCAACGGCGTGGGACTCGGCGCGGGCGGAGGAGGAGGGACGGCTCCGTCCGGGGCGTCGGGCGGCGGAGGGGGGATCTCGAACGCGGCCGCGGCCGCCGCGGCCGCCGCCGCCGCGGCCGCCGCGGCCGCTGCCGCCGGGGTCAACGGCCACGAGTTCACGCTGAGCGTGGAGTGCGAGCGCAAGAGCACCAGCATCGCCGCGCTGCGCATGAAGGCAAAAGAGCACAGCGCCTCCATCTCCTGGGCCACGTAACCGCGATGGGTCGCGCAGCAGCAGCAGCAGCAAACTGCAGTTACAGCTGCAGCCAACATTCGTTGGGAGGTCATGTGACGAAGTGACACCCGCCACCCCCTCCAAACCCACCCCGCCCCTTACCGCCTCCCAACCCACCCTACTTCGCCCCCCTTTGAAACCACCATCAGTGCCGCCACTCAGCTGCGATCGATGCAGCCGCAACTCAACTTTGCCCTGGGTCACAGAGCTCTGGCATGGTCGGTAGTGGAGTTCAGAGCCAGCGGGTGCCTTCATGCAATGATCATTTGATTGTTTTCATGTAGAATGAGTTCCTGCCGCAGTACTGACTCTTTTCAATGCCCTGCGCTCGGGTTTATGGCAGAGTCGTGGTGTTAAATGAAGGTCAAAGTGTCCTCTTGCTGAAATGAACGTGGGGCATCGCTCACTGCCATTGGCAGCCCTGACCTAATGGTGTCAATTCCATAATCTTATGGCAAGGTTTTTTACGTCGAGAGGATGACCGCTGTTCCCACCAGCATTTTATTGACCCTGGGGGGGATGATAATAACGGGCAAAAATCGACCAACCAAAACACGGATTTGAACTTCCGACTGTACAACCTTCTGACCGTACGTCACGTGCTCTAATCATAACGCCACTCCGCCAAATAATAATAATACAAATAAGACTTAAATCAGATTATCTATTTCAGGAAGGTCACTCTTGAGATGTTTGACATATTTCGAAGTGGTCTTTTATTGTTTATACCTTCGGACCATGCTCAGAAAAATGAGATAAATCCAGCATCCTCTTTTGCTTCGAGTCCTGTACCATCATACTCAAGGTCAAGAGGTCATCAAGGCCAATACAGTTGATGCCGTCATACCTTCCCCCAGTTTAAAAAAGTAAACTTTTTTTATTTTACTCGTTAATGCCCACTGAGTTATACAGCTCTTTTTCAGGAGTGACCTGGCCACAAATGATATCTCAACGAAGTGGCTTATCATGTGGAATCGCATAGCACCCACATACTATACACGGAGTAAAATCCACGCGACCACGGGGTCGGGATTGAACCCACGAACCCCCTGCCTACCAGGCGAGTGGGATAACATGTCGCCACCACGGCGCCCAGTTTCACGTCCTCCCCTCGGTGGCTGATTTCCTGGGAGCTGTCGACGCTGCCGGTCTCGGTCGCCCATCGTCTTCCTCCAGCTCACGCCCCCCCCAACCCCCTCCCCCCACCCCGCGACTTCATTGCAGCCTCCTCCTGCTGCTCCGTTTGCTGTAACGTGGACGTCAAAGACCCAGTGATACCCGCTTGCAATGAGAGCTAGCGATTGCGTGCCAATGTAGTGCGGAATCCAGATCCCAAATTTGCAACATCACTTGCTGTTTGTATGCGAAAATAAATAAATAAATAAGCATGGACTTGTAGATTTGCTTTGCAAGCAAAATACGCAGTGACTCTCAAAATGATCTCAAGTGTTTAGATAATGGACTATGAGCTGATATTTACCCAAGTTACTACATACAAAAAAATCAAATATCAGATGTGTGGCCGTATAGATGATATTTGTTATAAATGGTGTGCCCAAGTGGTCCTACGGTTCGATCGCTTGACCCAACAGACGTAAGTTTGCAAGTTCAAATCCCCATTGGTCGTCAACTCTGCCCATCATCCCTTCCAGGGTCTATTAAAGTGAGTCACCACTTTGTGAGGAATGCATCTGCGACTGTCGTAGGGATAGGAATGGCCCCTACCATGAAAGTGTGGAATTGTTCAGCACTGTCTGAGCGACAGCTAACGAGCCTGGGAGCGCTTCTCCGTCGCTCATCCAAACAGGAAGTAGGCACTTTGACTTTTCAAAGAGAAAATGCGTGGCAACAGCTTTAACGGACGGACTTGCCAACTCGACAATGGCATTCGAATGCATAGTGCGAGCTACGTACGTGCACACGCACACACGCGCGCAGAACTCAAGCAAGGCAGCCGTACAGGTGGCAAGTCTCTCTTTGAGTAATGAAGCACCTGGCTCTCTGAAGAAATGCTCCTCGGGCGGTAGACACTTGTGGCTGTTGCTGCTGCTGCTGCAGCAGCCAGAAGGACAATGTTGGGGCTGCAGGGGGCAAAGAGTGGAGATGGAAAAAAACGATCCAGACACTGACAAAAAGAATCTACGACTTCAATCTGACATTTTGAGAAGTCCAAGTCCCATGGTTTGGGGAATTAGACGAAAAAATATTTAGTGATGTGATGTGTTTGCATTTGGGAGCGGTGGAAGGTTTAAGTTTAAAGGTTTCCGTTTTATTTTTAGATTCTTTTGCTTGGCAAGGATGTGGGTTTTTTTCTTGCTCTCGTACTAACACAGTGTTGGTGGCGTATGTCCAGTATATATAAAAAAAATTCCGAAGTTAAATTCGTATTTTTTTTCTTTTTAAACACGAGACACGTTCGCCACGCATGCAGTGCTTTGGGTGTGCGGAAGGTTGTTATATGCAAATGTGCCCCCCTCCTTATTTTTTCACGGTCTGACGAGTAAGAACCGCGCCGTTTTAAATATTTCGCTGAAAAAAAAAACATATTTTAAGTGCTTAACTCGAAACCCCGTTGTCCGCGCTTTATGCTATAAAAGTAGACGCAGGGGATGCGTACAGGAATTTTAAAGTTTAATAAAAACAAAAAGTGGTTGTCCAATTATTTGCTGTAAGTATGTACAAAATATTTTTTTCTCTCCCATTTTTCGCGTTGTCGCTGGGACCGTGGGTGAAGAGGAGCGAGCGAGCGGGCGAGCGAGGTTAACAGAAACCGGCACCTGATAGGCGCGCAGTGCTTCTTGTGTTTCCGTTTTAAATCGTTCGGCAACCGTGGCGTCGGGGTTCTATTGTGTTGCCCTGCTTGGATTACAGAGGCGCGTTCGAACCGCGGCGGGTCCTCCGCGTGGCGACGCAAAATTCGAACGCGCGCTCGCCGCGAAACTCAACTCGCCGTTGAGCTTGTCCGTGCGCTATTTTAAGTTCGTCGTCCCTCCATCCCGGCCGAAGAACGCTCAACCCCCCATTTACAAAATCAATTAGGGCAATTCGCCGGCGCCGATAATTACCGGGGGCTAGCGAAAGGTTCCGAAGAAACCCCACGGGAAGCGCGCAGTTAAAATAACTGGGCGGGCAGAAACACATTTGCTAAAGTGCTGCACCTTTTTTTTGCTGCGGAGTGCATGGTAATGCATTTTCCTTGTTTATACAAAGCGGTTCAAGGTGGCTCTATTCATTTATAATTGCTTTGTTTCCCCTTGAATGCGGCACACGCATAGTGCGAGCTACGTACGTGCACGCACACACACGCGCGAGCGGCATCGCCTGATGCCGCTGCAGCCTTGAGAATGCCGCTCGTGGGAAATGCATCGACCTGTTGCTGTTCATGCCCTGAATTACCAAAGGCATGTAAACACAAGACACGAAGCGTGTACCCTGGTATAGTGGAGCATTTTAATTGTTGTGCAAATTGCCCCCGTCGTTGAATCAAAAAGCACAAACTCTTTGGTTCTATTCGGTAAAGTCACGTAGGTAAAAAATAAAACAACAAAAATCACGACGTTTCGGCCACAACACAAGTGGCCGAAACGTCGTGATTTTTTGTTGTTTTATTTTTTACCTACGTGACTTTACCGAATAGAACCAAAGACTATGGATCCTTGCAGTCACGAAAGCTTTAAATCTTGAATCAAAAAGCACAAGTTCACGCCGTTTCTCCGTTCAAACGTGTATCGGGAACGTCCCGCCTCTGTTGGCCGCCCGGAGCCAGCGGTGGAAATTCCACATTTCTACGGTGAAGGTAAAAATGTTTTTTTAGAACACAGCCAGTGTTGATTCCGCACTGAAGTGCTCATTCTATGGGCAACAGAGGGGACGGCGGGCTGAGCCAATCCCCATTTCAAATCTACATTTTCACCTTCTGATTCGACGCGACCCGTGGACGACAAAGCAATCAACGGTCCATGGTTGTTGTACCGTACTATGCTCGCGCGTCTGCTGCTACCTGCGTTCACCGGGGCTCACTGACCAACACGTCTACGCCTCTATAGAAGGAACGAAACAGTTAAGACTTCTCCACAAATCTGGCTGTCGCCTGATGAAGCTAGTTGTAATTACTGGCGAAACGTCGTACTCAGATTGTAAATGTTGTGGCTTGGCTCTCCAACACACCGGGTGTGCTGTACTAGTGAGGAATTGTCCACGTTCTGTTTACGTGACAACCCTTACTGGTTGGCTGTGTCGGGTGGTGGCGGGTCTTAATGACACAACATTTATATATTTACGCGATCTAACCCAAAAAAAACCTCTATTACGGTGAAGATTGGCTAACCCCCCCCCCCCCCCACCCACCCACTACAGCCGGCTCGGCAGTGCGAGCCTCACTACCTCTCATCCAGCTGTGGATTGACGAAAGGAACTGCTGCGCACGTTCACTTACAGCGTCGCTCTGCTCGTTGTAGCTGTTCGAGTCACTGCGCGGATGAAGCAGCACGCCTCTCTCTCTCTGTGTGTGCTGATTTACACTGCACACCTCCGTGTGTGTCATGAGTTAGAGCCATGGGGAGCGGGGCAGGTGTTTATGGTGTGAGCGCAGACCTGCGTGTGCGCGTGACTGTTTATTGACATGGCACACGTTTTCGCTCTCGGGCAGCATTTAGAATCCGCTGCGTCAACAAACACAAAATCCTACTTCCACGTCCGTAGTGAAAATAAATAAAACGGTAAAATTGTCAGGAGCACTTAGAAAATAATTAATCTAAAATTGTATGTAAGTGAATCACCGTATCGCTGAAAGACACGTTTTCAGTTTAAGGACTGAGATTTAATGCTCTTTACTTATTCAAAGTGCAAATTGGACTTCTGTCATCGACAGGCTAACGTATTTTCAAACGTTCCATTCGACGTTTTCTCATCTAAACCGAACGATACATTTGTTTCCGTGTGTCTGTAAAACGACGCAATCTGTACACATAAAGTGCTCGCCACAAATTAACCACGATGATACCTTTCTGGTATCGTCAAGGAGCAGAAACCGTCACACAAACTCTGGCCATCCTCGCAGAGGCGGTTATTGCATTGCGCGTTGCTTTCAGATGCGCTTCTGCGGCCGTCTGGAACGCTCTTCCGATATCAGGAAGCCCCTGGAGCTATGCACTTTTAAAATCAAGATTGAAAACGTATTTCTTTAGAACTGATTTTTGTGTTTAGTTTGTAGTCCTTCCCCGACACCTTCGATCAGCACGGTTGGCTACGTACGGTGCGAAATAAGCTCAACATACATGCACACACGACAATAAAATCACCGCTGATGCGCGTGTATGTGTAGAAAGTTAATTCCTAACAGCGAAATGTATCAATAGAGTGTGGAATTTAGGTAGAATTTGTGGTAATATAAGTACTGGGCATGCAACGTTTAATCCCTCCTAGGGATTCGATGAATTGTAACAGTTCAATGTCAACATGTCTTTGGAGTTAATTTTTTCTTACATCATCATCATCAATGTAGTGCCTCTAGTGGCTGCAGGGTTCTGAGTAAACATACCACGTCACATACAATATATAGGATCCAAAGATAATGGATTCTCAAATTCGCAAATCGATGCATGTGTCGTGTGCATAAGAAACAATTTGTTTTGATCAATCCATGCACCTGCAATTTCCCAGAGGTCATTATATGTATAGTCTGGCTCTGGCCATGGGAATGTGTAATTTTCACTGGTCATCAAGGAACATCCAATAGAGTTGCGCAGCGCCATGAGATATTTTGACTTTTTTTTTTCATTTGAACAGCACCAAAAGTCATCGTACGTTATAATGGGTTTGTAAAATTGTCAAACAATACACATTGTCTAGGAATACATCGCCGTCGTAATGTGGCTAATGTAGCTCTCTGGTGTGTGTTTTTGGATCATAGCCGTCCCCGCGTTTGGTTCGAATCCAGCAGCCATCCTGATTAATACTGCGGGGTGCAAGAACGCTCACACCGCCACGCGGCGTCTGCCTCACTGTGGACGTTAAAGATCCCTTAAACTTCCGTCGCGGTATCGTGTGCCGCTGTGAGGGTAACATTTTCTTGCCAAGTTTTAAAATGACATCGCAAATTATTGTAATCTATCGGGATTATACGGAGCGATCATCGGCCCCTCTGGCAGGGCTAATGATGGCCATTTGCAGGCAAGGCGCCGAGTCACATTGTGTCCAAAGGGACAGCTGCCACTGGGGGTGCCCTATCAAAAGCTTGAGATGAGACAACCTGGCGAATATCAAGAGCGCTCTTGTCAAAAAAACAAATAGTTCACGTTTTACCGCAAGTGTCGTTCAGCCGGGAAGCCACATCCAGAGAGCTGTACAGCACAGCTGCAAAAACATATTTCGTGGTTATTTCGCATGCTTCATGAAATTGGCATTCTTATAATGGGTGTCTTACAGGCGCACGTATACTTTCAATGTTGTGAAACCACTTTTGACTGTGACAATTACATTTCATGACACGCGGTGTGTGATGAGAGTGGAATTCCAGGGGCAGTCAGGGTCTTGCTGTCAGCCTCGGTAGAGAAGAACCTCTGAGTGCAGTTCGACAGGTTTTGGGGATCCGGCTCTATGTCCTGATGCCCATCATCTGGAGAGGAGCTCTACTACAACCACTTCCCATTTCACCAGCCTCAATTTATACACAAACATTGACCAATCAGAAAGAGGTTATGCCAACAGAAAATCATTGTAAGGAACGAGCAACTGGTATCTCCACAAATGTAACATCCCATCAGTTCAATAGACATATAATTTCTTGTAAAGGGATTGTGGGCAGAGAACATGACCCACAACATATGTGTGTGTGTGTGTTTACACTGGCTGTCCAATGGAGAGACTGACTGCTCCCATAGGAATGTGGAGTTTCCACCACTGGATCAGGGCTGCAAACAGAGATGAGTAACACCCACGCTTGTGTGAGCAGGGAGACGTGGACTTTTAGACTTGTGTATATTGTATGTATGTATATATAGACCAAAGACAAAGATCCCCCATTTAGCCTAAACATACTTTTGGGGCAAATACTGTTCGCGAGCACCTATTAAGGCAGGCACAGCACCCGAGGGGGGTGGGTGGCCAGCACCACGCCCGGCCGCCTTTGTCTCCCGAGTGGCGATGTTTATACACTGCACCAGCTGCTCAATTGAGGCTGAGTCGACCTAGGGGAGGCCCGGGACCCGTTTCGATAATCGCCACTGTTATTGGCCGAGAGCGGAAATCGAACTGGGGTCACCGGGTTCATAGCGCAGCGCACTAACCGCTACACTCCCGCTCCCACTATGTATATATATACACTATATATAGACACACACACACATGTTACATTCATCCGGTGCCTGTTGCCAGGGATTAC